AATGTAGCGTACTTGTACCCGTTTATGCTTGCACTAATTTATTATAAGATGAAGAACTAAAAGAAAGCAATTACTAAATGATGATAAAAGTGAATGACAGGTCAATGAAAGTATTGAGCACTGTAGTCACACAAAATTGGTGATCTCTCGGAAAAAAATAAAAACAACACTATAATATGAAAAATGCAATTTCGGTTTGCTTTGTTCTGTTCATGAGAGATAACATAAGAGATAACAACTATTAATCTCAAAACTACCATTTATAAATTTAGAGGACCAATATAAGAACAAAGATAAAAAGGAAGGCAGACATTCAATGAACGCACCCCTTCAGATCAAGTAACACAGGACCACCGACAAGGAACTCAGCCGGACATTGAACAAAAAAAAATGTAAACAAAAATGTAATACATATCTTACAGTAAATGATACATACCTAAACCATTATAGTATTAAATTAAATTGTTGCTGGTTGAAATCTATTACTAGTTTATATATGTATTTGTCCCATAGGATCAATTTTAATGATTTAATGCACCTAAACCGGCTTTACTAAACAAACACACGATTCTGGCCAAGAATAATTAACAAACGAGTTACAGCAAAACGAATTACATAATCTTAAAAAGTACCATATTTTGCTAGGTTCATAAGTTCTTAAAAGTTCTGAAAAAGCATTACCATTTTGGTAAGCAAAAGTTACAGATAAGGTATAGGCAGAACAATGATGAGTTATAAATGACAAGACACGTATAAGAACTTACACTATAATGAAATAGAAAGCGTTTTACAGCTTCCACAAAACACGTAATACCTACATTGAAAACACATAAAATCATTCAAATCAACTTCCGATTTTCATCCCTCGAAAGAAAACAAAGTATAATGCAGAAGGCCACCTTGTGCCAGTTTGACCATCCTTCCATTACTTTAATTTTCGGAGAAGTGCCGCTTTGTTTTATACAAAGTACATTATTCTAAGCCATGTGTTCCAATTAGTAGGCGGTTGTATCTATGAAAGAAAACATGTATTTGTTGGTAATTAGGACACCATAAAATGACCACAACAAACAAACTTTCGGCAAGTTGTATATTTTTCCGGAAATTTACATTACTAGGGGATTAATCCAATACTTGACATATTATTGTATGGGGAAGCTCATACATCAGATAGTAAAGTAACACAATCATTTCCTAATTATAACCTTGTATTTTATAATATAATGTAAACACGATGTAATAGTGAAAATGTTCGAGGTACTTAGTCGTTTAAGCTATAGCAATATTTCTGGCAACTTTTTATAACCTAAATAGTAGAGTCGTTTGGATTTATTTTTTCTTTTCCATGCGGAAAGATATTTCAAATTGAAAACTTTAATTATGTATGTGCTGGGGTCACTAAACAGCATGACAAACAAGATGATCCCTGGTGTTGTGTTTCTAATAAAGTTAAAATAATGTAAAAAAGAAAAGAAAGAAGAGTACGCTAATACATCCACGAACGAGAGCAGAAGCTGCAGCGTGTTATCATACATGAATTCTAAACTAACATAGCTTACAGTATTCTTTTAGATTGAATTTAAGTTAATATCAATTAAAAAATGCATGAAAAAGCATAAATAACTTAATGACAAAATTATATCTATTTCTATTGCCGATTTCTATGAACGTTTTGTTATTTTGATAAAGCATATACTATCTTTTCAAAGAAGCAGACACCATTCTTCAATCTTTTTAGCTAATTTGTATTTTCACGGACCTTTAACATTTCTGATTTTTAGTTTATTACTTTTTAGATCCACCTGAGCACAGCGCTCACAGGTGTTTTTTTATGCAATTTGAACGCCGTCTGATTTTACTTTGGCGTTGCTGTCAAAATTGACTGTAACCTTGGGGTCATTGGTTTTCCTTGTTTGTATTTTAAATACAAGTATATATTTTTTATATGACAAATAAACAATAATGATGATAATAATATATCAAAATTATTCTTTACCTTTGATCCAGAATTTGGCCCAGTGACCTACGTGTTTTGTATTTAGAGCCTGAGCTAAGACTTAAGACTATGTTCAAAGTTTTGAATGCAGATATGAAATTTGAAATCATTTGATCAAGATTCTGGGCTTGTGACATCTTTTATTGAAGGTCCAACCTTGAAATTTACAATATATGCCGTTTGTACATGCTATAAGTAAACCCTGACTTTGACCCAGTTGGAGCTAGGCTTTGAAATTTGGACTCTATGAGATTCTGATATATATACTGTAAATTTCTTTCTTGTTTTTTTGGGGGGACTATAGCTTTGAGTCTTAGAAATAACACAGTTTATACACATTTCGCAATAGCAATGAATTATTTTATATAACATATCAGTTAATCTACATTTTGACCAAGTGACTTTCTTTGACCATGAAAATTGGATTAAGTGCATAGTTTCAGACGCAGAATTACCTACATAGTTTTACAACTTAGACCTTCTAAACAATATGTAATGCATTTTAATTTTAAAAGCCAGATGACATAGACTATGACACAATGATTTATTTTTTAATTTTGTCGACCTACATGCATGTTAACCTTTTGCTTCGTGTCTTTAAGGGGTTGTGGACTGTTTTTCTTTGTTAGTCATTTGATTAGAGGGGGAAAACGGAAGCCCTAAAAACGACGAAGTAGCATTATTGAAATTGTTGCAGACTCGGTTTGATAGAGTCTGTTTATGGACGAAAGAGGTTGTTCCAATATATTGTCCACTGTCCAAGCACCGGTTTATGCAGAATTTTACCTTTAAACATAAAATAATGCGCACAACCAAAACGTAAGGAATCTAATGGCATGTGGCAGAGACAAGCCGTTTTTTTATTTAGCAAGAAAATTGACATTCATTTCGCAGGACTGGTTTGGTTCAAGGCACGGACTAAAGAGTGTGTCTGTAAGATAAGCTTCCTACACAATCTTACTAAAATAAATTCTGCATAAACTTACCATATCTTTGCACTGAACATAGGCCTTTTATTATCATTATTTCTTTTAGAATTATCGCAGAAAAATGTCACTATAAAAAGTATATAAATCGTAATCTTTCATTCAGTAAAAAATGATAAAATATAAAACATATTTTTTTAGAGAGATAAAGAAACATTTCTTAAATGTCAAGACTATTTCTATTGGTAGATGGTAAAAAATCAAGATTTTTACAGAAAAATATACGAGTAATTGAGTATCTTATAATTTTGATCTAATGAATACTCCATAACATCCTGTTGCACAGGGAATTCTTGTGGCCAAACAGGAACTTGGCAAACTATGAGGTCGGGAGAACCATATATAACAACTAGAAAGACTATTTAGAGTATTAAAGGTGTTGTTGTTTTTTTTAATTCACCCTAAAGGAAACTTTACGTTTCTTTAATAAGTTTTATATGCATTCCATTTCTGCTTTGTATCAAATCATACGCTTGAAATATCCGCTCGTGTTATTACATATTTTTTCTATTATTTTGGCTGGTTAGGTTGCACGTTAGTGTTGAATATTGGATATACATGTACCTAGAGGACGTGAGAGGTGTTGTACTTTTACAGTGTCTCCTATGTACAGACTCAATCAAACCGAGTCTATAGTTACCATATTGTAGGGTTCTCTTTTATTGCTTCTGAGGGATCACGCGTTTTCCAGATTTTTTTTAGTAATAAATGCATGCACGTTAAGTTTTTAGCATGTTCAATAACCTAATTACACACAAATACAAACGAATATAATGAATAGAAAATAAATGAATATAATTATCTAATACGAGTATAAGATATATACCATATACAGTCATAGATGTCGGCCAATCTATCATCATATACTACATTTAATATCTCAAGTACATTGTACTTATCATTTTTCCATTAATGTGATAAAGTATTATTCGGTGAATTTGTTTTCATCTTCTTTCCATTTTTGTTGGATTAAATGCTCATCGTACAAAAGCGAGCATGGCATGCACGTGATTCAATAATAGTATTAAATTTGATTTTCAAAGCAAGCGATTGAATATATTTGTTACCGTTTCAGTTTGATATTTAGACAAATCGAAAAAATAAATGCCATATCATCGTGACTATTTGCTTGCGTGGGCATCGTCAAATAAATGTTCACGATAATCCTATAGATCCATTGTTTCATGTTGTAAAACAATATGACAGCGACAAAGTATATTACTGCTCAAGGACAATTAATCAATATAAAAAAGTTTATCTCCTGTTCAAATTTTTAATATTATAAAATGTTTATAATGGTTTTTTTTATGTAGACGATAATACTTGTAATAACATCGACCTAATTTAAGAAGTCGCTGTTATACTCTTTTAATTTAACATTAAATATTTCTAAAAAAAATCTCTTATCCATTTTACAGTAAATGATTTATTGTAATAAACAAATGTTATTAATGGATGTAGGTTCAGCCGCTCCATTTTAGATTTCCATTGATTTTACTATAATTGTATAAAAGTTAGATATATCGCGTGTTTTCATGTTAAATATATATCCATTTATACAAGTAAATCATACTTTATTAACAAAAACATATAATTATTACAGGTGTGTTTTAAGGTCACACAATATCAGATACGCTCTTCATTATGATAATCTACAACTGGATATATATTGATAACATAACGATACCTCCAGCAAATCTTAATCTCTATTGTATAATTTCAATCAATGATTTCACACATTTTAATCCATTTAATAGTTTTCTTAAAATTTTCGAATCTCGAGCGCACTGATATAAAGCCCTATTTATCCCATTATCATTTGAATTAAAATTTATTCAAAATTTGACCAACAAATGATTTATTGTGTTTTTCCTTCAATACAAATATCCTACATTTCCCTTAAATACATTTTTACAAAATCACTTGTCATTTGACAGTGATCTATTCAGAATTAAGACTAAGGTTGTATTCCAATTAAGCATATTTATTATCGTAAAACTAATAACTTAGGCTTAATACCGTTTTCGAAATAATAAGACTGTAATCAGATAGTGTAAAATCAAATCATCAATGAGTGAAGTGAGTAGGAGAGGTTAAATTGTCACGCTGAAATATTTATATTGTATTTATATTTATATATAATATATTGTGTTCCTAGACAATAGTCGATCGGGTTATTTCATTGGTCAAGACTATTACGCGCGTATGGATAAAGAGTGGACGTTTCGCCTGGAAGTGTCAATTAATACATTTTAGAGCAACGAGACTTTTCTATGAAAATATTCTTTAACAATAATAATGTGGACTGTTGCACTGCTTGTGTGTTTAGGAATTCTTATGGGTATATTTTATTGGTAAGTGTTTAAATATTGAAAAAAATAGTTTTACTTGTTTTTTAAAAATATTTTATAGATAAAGATTGCGCTCTCTTATTACATTCTTTACATTAAGTGTGGTTTATATACGTGCCAGATGCTCGTTAAGTGTATTGCAAATATTTAATTTATTTCTATTTTCCATAATGTATTATAAAGCAAGTAAATATAAAAGGATTTATATTGTTGAGATTTAACTTTCGAAAGAATGGATATTTCATGCATTGGAATAAACATAACAAATTATAGTAAAGGTAAAATAAATAATTATTATGCACTCAATTTAAAGAGTTTAAGTCAGAGTGAATCAATTTGATTATTATTAAAATGTTCAATTATACCATTACACAAAGGTGACAAATGAAATTACTGCTATAAACCTCAAATATTTAAGTTTGAGGATTTGATTTTTATGTTGCAAATGAAATAAGTAAATAATGTAATATTTTGAAATTTAAAGGAAGTGTTGTAGGAAGGACACATACATTGAAAAAAATATATATGTATTGACGGGATGTGCTTCTAAACCCAGAAATTTATAGAAAGGCATTCTATAAATAGGACAATTCAATTTGATTAATATATGACTTTTTTTTAAAAGGGTCACTCGCAAACAGTTAAGATTCGTTTTTTTTTACAAGTTGAGCATAAACTTTAATCTTGTTTCCTCTTAAAACATGTTATCATATGTTTTCAATACTTGATTGCCGATGGGTTTTGGGGTAATTAATATAAATTATGTATTTTATTATAAGCAGTTTATTATAAATATATAACTTCATAACAGCCTTGAGTGTTTTAGAATAATTTGTTAATGAGTTAATTTTCATGTTATGATATCATATAATTTCCGTTGAAGTCACGATTATGAGTAAACATCGTGCTCATGAATTTTGTAGATTCTGTACAAATTTTGAATGAAATCTCCGTGCACCCAACGGTGTACTAACATCCCTTTTCTTAGAAGTTTCAGAAATGATAGGGAATATTTTATGTAATAAAAAATTAACTATTGGTCTAAAAAGTCACATTCAATTATAGATGTTATAACACATCTGCGAATGTATTCAAATTCAAAGTTTAACATTTTATGCTTAAGCCGGTGCTAGGGGGGCGTGGACCGCAGCCTTTCAGTACCGTCCATTATAAGTCTCGAAAAGCAACATTTTGCTTTAATTTGGCGTTTCTTGGGGATTACATTTTTTTCTTTTTCTAACTCACCAGTTCATCTGTTAGTTTGGACAACCCATTAAATTATTTAAAAGGTATAAGGTAAATAGCTTACATATTGGATTGAACCATCTGGTCAAATTGACGTTTGTGGTATGTTCACAATACGTTAGAGTTTTGACCACGATAGCTTTACTACCAATTTTGCATCGATATAGGTAATAATGTCATTATTTTAAAAATATATCTTAACTATGTACGTAGACGACTCTGAAATTATTTAACAAAAAATAACCATTTTTTTTATTAAAAACGCACTTTCTTTTGTGGTGAGGCATAAGAATTGCAGCCGCATTTTATCCCTTCGTGACTAAATGGGTTCGAATAACTGGAGTCTATGGATCTCTTAGTTCCAGCAGGTGAAGTGGTTTTGACCCTTGCTGTTGCTTTGAAGTTTGTTAACCCCAGATTAGCCAAAATGATATATCATTTTTCGGTGCCATATGACCCATACTGTGTTGTTACGCCTTAAAATTAAACAAACCAAAGCAAACGAATTCCGCATCACAATTAATATCGGCTCGCAGCAACAGCATTTTCACATTTACGAAAAAACGTGAAAATTGTACCAGTAGATATGTTAATAGACTATTGAAGGCGTGGGAAATGGTGATTTTTGGTTTTATAATAATTTTCTAATATTTTTTCAATATGTAATTGATAACCGTAATTCATTAGTTTGTAGGCAAATATTAATTATCGTATCATTGTTTCATAATAGATAGGTCACATAATTAAAATGATACTGCAATTGTAAAATGTGAACATTTAGGTGAAATTGTAAAAGTTTGAAATCTGATTGGATAAAATCTGTTGGCAGCAGTTGATGAGACAAGTTAGACATTGTCTGAAGAAATGAAATAGTCATTGCAATATTTAATAAGATTTCGATGGAAGGGGATAAAGTATTTCAAAGATAATTTGCAGTTGTATTGTAATAATAGTAAAAATATTTTTATTTATAGCTATGAGATATTGCATGTGTTCCTCGGGTAATGTAATACATCCATTTGTATGGGTTTTATATGTTTTAAAATTCATTGATTGCATCTAGAGGTGTTTATTTGTATCTAATAAATGCCAACTCGTGGGATAAACATATTGTATTCAATAAAATCATAACTACGTTTTTAACTAATTACAATCAAACTATTTTAGTATTTGTTGTAAATCGCAACTTTTACAATATTATCAATCAAACATGTTACGTCAGCACACACCTACTGACTATATGACTGAACTATTTCCACGGGATGTAAAAATCACTATTAAAACAATCGCTCATTTGTAATAGTGTTTACATACTTGAATAAATAGCTGTTCGCCAATCGAAAAACTATTTGCTCTACACCTACAACATGGTATACAATTATCACGTAAAAACCAATATTTGTGTTTGTTTTGACGTGCCTTTAATTTTTGCTGATCATACGTGTCTTGCTGCATTAAATGTCGTGCAATGATAAATCTGTTAGAACCGATAGGCAAAACACCTTAAATATGATCATGAAAAAGACAAAAAAAAAGATATTGAAAAAATTAATTAAGAAAAAAAAAACGAAAAAAAAAAACAAAACAACAACACTTTTTTAAAAAATTTCATTTAAAATTATATGTCAGATGTATGTGCGTCTAATGTAAATAATAAATATAATTATTGTTATTTGGTGGTTAAAAGATTTTGATAACTTATGAGTTTTTTCTTCATGTTTCTGTCTGATCATCTCTCATACAATTCAAGGTCATTAATTAGAATACTTGTATTAGGAATGCATATCTTAGTCATAAAATGTATTACTTTAAGTGGTGGCCATCCCAATCTACTTCGTGCTGAATAAAACAATTATTTTACTGTATTTTATTAATTTATTCTTTTACAGGCAAAGAAGACAACAAATGGTCGTTTTTAAAAGAATGGGAATCCCTGGTCCATCCCCAAATTTCTTATTTGGAAATCTACTTACCTTCTGGAAAACAGTAAGCAAATTTCATTTCTTGAAACGCTAACAACAATGCGTCGTTTATGCTCAACCTAACCAGATATAAAATATATAGAGGAGCGATTAAGTTTTTTTTTCCTATTTTTTTTCATCGAGTGGTATGAAAATAAATATTTCAAGAGTAGCGGCAGCCACAAGTGAAATATGTTAATTTTTTCATAGCATGAGATGAAAATAAATCTTGTATTTATGGGGAAAAACTTGAATTTATTTCCTGTTTATTATATCTTTTATCCTGATTTGACTTGACAGTTTGAAAGTCTTACGCTTTAATTGTGTGTAATGACCGAATAGTCCGAAGAGACAACAGTGTAAATACGGAAATTATGTTTCATTGCAGAGAAAAATATTTTTACAGTGAAAATACGGAAAATGAAAACATGCATTTTATTTTATCAATATTTCTCAATATATCATTTATAAGTATAAAACATATATATTTATCGTGCAGGAGTGTAATAAAGCTTTTTGATAAAAAAAATGATTTGAGTTATACAAACAGCGGAAACGCGCGCTAAAATTATCGTTACATTCTTGGCACATCAATCTTACAGTTATTAGTTCTTATTTTGTGTATGTGATAAATGGAGTTTAATGTAATATTCGTGTAGATCCATTACTGCTTTAACTGATCTCCATTTGGTATCGCTATATTATTTTATAGAACACATTATATTTTACTGTATTACTACTACCTTTTCCTATCTTACGGAAAAATAAACGTAATTTCTAAATATAGCTCTGTAATTGTTATACTTTAATGGTATAATTAAATAGCTGACTTGACAGTAAAAGAATATACCACAGTGTAACATTGAAAAATGATAACAGATTAAATATCGGTGCAATAAAGAAAACCCGGTTATGAATTAGTCAGTGGAAGTGGTTTATAAGTTTACAAATTACAGGTTAATTTAGGTGCCTTTATGTAAAGATACAAGATACTTTTTTATTCTTTCCTTTAAACAAAGATTGAGTCAAACTAGGAAATGATGTCACCACCGTATTAAGGCTCTAAGATAATGGTCACAAATATGTATTTGTTTAATAGTTTTAGTTAAACAGGAAACAAATTAATAAAACATTGATCAACTAGTGGGATAAATCTCGTGGTGTATAAAACAATTGAATATTTGCAAAGATATTATTTCATACTTCCGATAACCTTTTGAAAAGGTTGTGATTAATATTGATTTAATAAATCTACTAAATTGAATCATTAAATCCCTATGTATGATGCAATATAAAGTAATTTAACAATACGCCTTTCTCTTTTATCATTGTAAGTAACCACACATTTGAATGAGGGTATTTCTATACCTTAATTTGAAAGTTTCGATATTCAATTTTTACTTTGATATACACATTCATCCCCAATATTTTTGTTCATTTTTTTATGACTCATCGACATTTATATGACAAACACGTTGCGGTTTCACATTGATTATAGGCTGGCCTCAAAAACTTTCAAGATGTCGCTTCCGTCTGACGTCATATTGCTAAACTTAGCTACTCATTCAGTTTTTAAAAATGTTTGAAATCGTGTAAATCCGCCCGTACACTTACTTACGTAATTGATAATAAATGTGAACCAGAAAATAGATGCGACCAATAAGATTTCACTGTCAACTATGTATTCAATTAGCACGTGCCCTAATTCATGAATGTTCAGTATTATTATTTATTTAATTTCAGCCAATGTTTAAGCAATATGGAGAATGGGCAAAAACGTTTGGCAAGACATACGGGTATTTTGAAGGGCCTAGTCCGGTGATCGTAACTTCAGATAAAACTTTACTCAGCGAGGTGTTCGTAAAACAATTCAAATCATTCCATGCAAGAAAGGTATGCATATAAGAGTGTAATTTATGACTTTTTAATCAGTCTCATTAGAAAGTTATAATTTGCTAAATTGGTTTAGTGCCCTAAAATTGACTTCTTGTAAGTAATATCATTTTTGTTTAACTTCAATTCGAAAGGCCACTTGCACCAAAATTGCATTAATCTTGTTATTATTTTTAAGTAAAAGTTAGTTACATATACCCAATGCAGATGTGATTCAGTGTTAAATATATTTTATCTTCCCATGATATTTTGATTAGAATTTTTTTATATTCTCGAAATTATTTGTGTTACCTCTTGTGCACTGCTGATGTTCCCACAATTTGTGTTTTTTAATATATGGCGTAAATGGGACTGTGGTTTAAAACAGAATATCTTTAAAAAAGAATATCTCTGATTTTCACCAGTGACTACTTTTTTAGACTTTTTAAGAACGTAAACAGCAAACAGAACTAACAAGCACAACCTTCTTGGCGGGAAAGCTCATTTCTAAGCCCATTTGTTTAGTTATGAGCAACAATGTCCTGCCTTGTTTGAATATTTATGTATAAAAGGAAATAACGAGCAAATATTAAATGAAAATGTGAAAGCAATCCCACACTCCTTTACCTAGTATCAACATTTTTAGTAATATTGAAAAGATAAATAAACAAGCTGTACTGACAACATTAACTGATTTCAACATTATTATTTTTAATCAATTATGAATTATTTAAAATAATCTTTTAACTTCTCCTTTATTTTCTTCAGTGTATTTCTTTTTCCCCTTCAGATATTTCCAGTTCAGGTGGACCCCGATAAAGATGAAGAGGTCCACATGTTCTTTGCTCGCGGAGAACGTTGGCGGCGTCTTAGAAGTATTGCAAATCCTGCCTTCAACACCAGCAAAATGAGACTAGTATGTTTTATCTTAATATGTTAAAAATGTCCTATCATAAAAACCTGTAACCTTTAGCCTATGACACGGTTCTATGACACTATTATATAACGGCCTTACTATTAATTACCATATATAAAAAGGTTACATATATAACAAGAATATTATTTTACAAATTGTTGTTAAGGATGCATTATTGCCCGGCCTAGTTTCATACCACTACATAGTTGTGTGGCCATCCTTTACAATGGTTCTAATTATCAGCTGCTAGTAATTACCTTACCAAGATAACATAAACTTTAGCATATCATTTGTTTGTGGTGTTTCATTCGCACTTCCCATTTTGCGCTTATTCTAATTTCGTAAATTACTTACTTATAGCTATTTCAAAAACCTCTTCGTATCGTATCTGGTAAAGTGTAATATTAGGATGTGGCAAATACAAAACGTTAAATAACAATTTTGTAAGAAAACCGTCAAAAAAAATCTTCCGCGTAATTTAATCTAAATCTTAAAGCCAAGCAATGTGAATGCTTGAACATGATATTTATATTGCAAGCAATATGAATGCTTTGAAATGATGATTATGTTTGCAAGCAATTTGAATGCTTGAACATGATAGCAATCTGAATGCTTTAAAATGATGATTTTATTTGCTTTTCTTTCAGATGTCACCAATGATTAATAAACAGATTGATAAATTTCTAAATGTTATGGACAAAAAATGTTTGGAAAAGAAAGAATTCGACATTTATGAGTACGTATTTTATTTCTAAATCGGTAGGAAACAATGTTTCAGAATATATACAGAATGAAATTCATGAACGGTAAAATGTGCCCTCGTGTACATGTTTTTGTTTTGGACTGAAACTCAATTTCTTATTAAAAACAAGGAAATAGATACATCAAAACAATATTAAAAAATTTTTGTACAAAAAAATGAAATATATTCTTGAATGTAAATGTTAGATATTTTCATTCATTCATCCGACTGACACTCATATTAATCATAGTAATGTTAGATTAACTCTAATATAAGTTTCTTCCAATAAAGCTGGAAAGTCCCCGTGTGACATTTATTTCAGTATTGAGGTGATGAAACAAACCTTAATTGTATAATAAACATGAAATATCCAATTTTTATTTCAGTTTATTGCAACGCCTGACATTTGACACAATTGCTAAATGTGGCTTTGGTTTAGAAGCTGATTCAGTAAGGACACACGATGATGAATATTTACAAAATTGCCGTGGTGTAATAAATGATACGACTAAAAGACCAATCCTGTTTATGTTTGGATGTAAGTATATATAAATGGGTCTTATTCCATACTGCCCTTTCGTTCATTTAATGCTTTGTCTTTATGAAGAGTATGTATAGAATCTCTCACGTAACAGTGTAGATTTTAATACTTCTGTTTCATTTAACACGCATGGAAATCTTTTATATTTCATATGTTTCAGTAAAAGTGAAACAAATAACCCCCTACATACAGTTAAATGAAATGTGTGTTAGTGCAATTGCTCCTGTAAAAATAAAATATTCTATTAGGCACATGTCTTTTATCCTTTTCGATAAGTGTGTATTCGATTTGAATCTGACTTGTACTTAATAAAACTAAACGTCTGATGTACTAGCCTTTAATTGCTGATATCTTAATTTCAATAATATTGTGTGCTTAAAATAACTTTATTTCACTATTTGCGTTGATCATGATTTTCAAATTATATATTTCTATTTATAATAAGTGCGAATATGTGAAAGATAATAACTTTAAACAATAAAGCACAGTTTATTACTTTAATAATGAATACTTAAACAATGCCGATAGCTTTATATATAGCAAGTATATTTTTATTTTTGTTTTGCAGTTATTTTCCCAACTTTACATCGCCTTTGGATCTTGATCTATTACTTTATTGGAAAGTTGAAGTTTAATCCGGTTATTTGGCTTGAGAGTAAACTTCAACAGGTCGTACAGAATAGAAAAAAATCAAATAAGGTAAATGCTTGGCAACACATATAGCCATATTGTAATATCAGTGGTTGGGAGAATGAATCATCATGTGTATAATGAACTTAAACATTATGTTTTTGGATTCATAAATGCAGAAATTTTGCAATATAGGATCATTGTCTGAAGAAACATCATGCTGGTATTTTTTGGTATTTCAATTACGACATATCCTGCCAGGGGTAAATAAAGATTTGGCTTATCGTAAAAAATAAAAAAAAGTGTTCATGAAGAGAGTAGGGAGACCATTATGTCATTGTTGATAAATGTGGATAACAATTGACAGAAAAGAAAATACATGTAATTTAAAAACTTCATTTGAAATTATCAAATAAGGAGACCGCTAGAACTCTTTGATGTTAAGCAATATGTAAGAAAAACGTTATATTGTGATATAATTTAGTATGTCCATTAGATGATACCAAAAGCACAGTCTTGTTGTACAATCGTAAAAATAAGACTTGAAGAAAAAAATCTTTTGACCAAACTGAACGATCCAAATAAAATTAGTCTAGGCATTAAACACGCACGATTTATTTATGTGGAGGCTGACTGCCTTTATTCATATCATACAAAACTGTTTTTTTTTAATCAATTAAAAATGTTACAGACAGCAATATTTCCTTTTTTGTTTCTAACAATAAACTTTTCCACAATAGCGGTCTCATTCACCCCGGGGATCTAAGATGATGACTAAATATTACATATAAAAGTTCTAATACTATCTTAAATTATAGTAAACGGTTGACATTTAGTCAGATAAAGCGTAGGCGTTTTTTGATTTATCTATTAATAATCAAAACACATATCTGTTGGGATCCATTCATAGAAGACCTAGTAAATTGTTAAGAAGACACTGCTAAATGAAAATAGCAAAACTGTTATTCTTATAATTAAAAATAAATCAATTCATTCACTTTCTATGCCCGCGGTAACTGATCTATTATTGCCTTTATTATTTATATAAACTTTCATTCTATATTTGGAAACTGGTTGTTTATTGTACTAATTGATGCTGATCTAATACAGTGTAACAAATTGGTAGAACATAATCGGGGGTCTGTAAATAAATTCATTGTTCCGTGGCTATTTACCAGATTATTATGCGAAATGTTAATTATGTTTAATTTCATAGTGTCTTTTTGTTTTTCTTTCAGAGAGATACGTATGATCTCTTGGAGTTATTTTTGAATTCAGAGTATGACCCAGACAGAACTGAAATGGACCAACTACCTGACTGTGAGAATAATGTAAAAAGTATTGCTAAACACCGGTTCCTCTCAACACAGGTATAAACCGACAGATAACCTGTTTTGATAATGTGGTGATGTCAATTAGCCAAATAATCTTGCTATTTTAACAATAAAGCAATAAATAAATGTTTCAATAATTCTTTAAATAGCGTGACACTTTGAATTAGTTTAATGTCCTCACCCGTAATTGTCATTTATATCTGATTCGCATTTATAACTTCCTTATAGGTGCTGAATTTTTTTATACAAATTACTTATTATCTGTTCAAGTGAGATTTGTCTATTATATGAATACACATTTCCCTTCAGAGATTCACATATCTCGTTCCTTTGTACATGCTCATTCTCACCTATATTCCGTAAATGATTTGTATTAGAAGCGTTAAATTATTTGGTCTAGCCCTGAAATTATATATGTGTGTTTTGTCGAATGTTTGTTCAAGATATGAACTATTTTACTTGTAGGAATTGGGTTCTCAGTGTTTACTGTTCCTGCTATCTGGTTATGAAACAACAAGTACCACGTTGGCCTATGTTATGTATGAGATGGCGATGAATCAAGACGTACAGCGAACACTTCAAGAAGAAATTGACAAATATTATCCTGATGATGATGATACAGTTGAATACGACAATGTTATGAAAATGGAATATTTAGATATGGTCCTTAATGAAACATTACGGAAATATCCGTTAGCCAGCACGTAAGGGAATATTTTGCGTCTTTTTTCTTCTTCTAAGACAATTAATAATATTTCAGCAAACATTTCATTTGAAGACCTTCTGTTAAAATGTTATGCTTTCTTGTTAAAACTTTAATTTTTAATAGAAAAAAATAATGTGTAAATAACATGAAACTTAATAACGTCATTTGAAAATGTGAATGTTTATACAATTGTTCTTTTGTTTTGTATAATTAAGACATTGTTTTGATTATTTTTGAAACATGTCCTCTATGAAAGAAACTTACCTATATATAATATTTAATATAATGTTGTTTCAGTGTAATAGCTCGACAGTGCATGAGGACATCACAAGTTGGTGACTATCAAATAGAGCCCGGAATGATCGTTCAAGCAAATGTTTGGGATCTGCATTATGATAAAAGTGTATGGGGAGAAGATCCAACAACATTTGACCCATTAAGGTACGCTTTAACTTCTGAAATATTAAATAGTGCTAATACCGGTGTTTGAGAACATATGAGCCGCGTCACGACAAAACCAACATAGTGCGTTTGCGACCAGCATGGATCCAGACCAGCCTACGCATCCGGCACCCAAATCGATCAGGACCCATGCTGTTCGCTTACAAACCCTATAACAAGTAAAGAAACTAATAGCAAACAGCACGGATCCTGATCAGACTGCACGGGTGCGCAGGCTGGTCTTGATCCATGCTGGTCGCAAACCCATTATGCTGGTTTTGTCATGACGTGACTCATATGTGTTTTGACATAGTGACAGTTAAACCTTTAACAAGGCAAAGTTATCGAAATTGCAATTTGTCGTTCATTTATATACATGCATAGAAATGACTTACTTAATTAAGGTCTGTTCCTCTATTCAATTATTTGAGCCTCATTAATATTAAAATATGTTTATATGTATAAATAAAACATAGGAATGAAAAAAATATATATTGGCTCATCCCTTTTTATGCACAACTGAAAGAATATTTTTTTGTTTAAGAAAATTATAAACATTTGATATGTAAGGTTGAGATGTCTGCCGATCTTAAATGATCTCCCGTGTGAGCAATATATGCTTAACTCTCTGTCTTAGATATTCAAATCAATTATACATGATATTGCAAAATTCTATTTTAAATGCATCCACTTTTCATGACAAAGCAAAACATATACTAAGTTACTTATAATACTAAAATAGTATTGAAATACAAAATAGTGCATTAAATTGCTAAAACGTGACGCGAGAAACCTTCGTGATAGCTTTTTAATTCTTTATGCGATATTCACATTAGGGTCGTAATAATTTGGCAAATTCATTTAACTGACAATAAAAGACATTATTACAGTCGCCGTTCTCAAGATTGTTTATGAAATTATAAAAAAATTGGCAATATTTTTTTTTTTCGTTTTATTTTTCTTTTGCTTAAATAAAGACGCTGTATGTATACGTTGACAATTTGACATTTACAATTTTCTTTTAATACAATGTTTCAGTCAAATTTAAACATTGGTTCAAAATACAATGGATATATTGTGTTTAAATTGATGGTTTTCTTCAAAGATTAATCTGTAAAAATGTCCCTTATTGAGAAATTATGAATAAAGGTCACACTATATCATATAGCGTACACAATACGTACACAATACTGGCGATGACCTTCATTATGATATATCTATAATAACCTCAATTATTATAGAAATACATATTTTGTTTAAGAAATAAAGAAAAGCATTACCTACGGTATTATAACAATTTTAATAGCCAATTTCTGGTATGTAACAATATTCCATTTCGATTTTAATGTAAACTACACTGGGGGTAATAAAATATTGTTTGAAAAATAAAAACACAATAAATTACAATAGTAATCATTTTAAACTGTAACGTATTATCGTTATATTTTGTATTAACCGGCACACTAGTTTGGTAAAGTAAATATTTGCTTAAACGTTTACAGAGTTTTTGAAGAATTGTTACAATTGATATCCTATCATAAGAAATGATAAAGCAATACATACCATTGATAAATACCTGGTTGTTTAACATAAATATTTACATTCTACAAAGCTGCAGTAATTCTACTGACCCAGACATTCAAAGTGCCAATTTTTACACCTTAACAATTCATGTAGTATTTTTTTAATCGGCTATTAAAATTGTTCAAAATAAATCAAAGCAGAAAAGAAAGAATGTAAAAGATATTTTATATCAAACGCACACAAAGACCGATAAAATTGAATTAGGTTAAACGGGCTTACATTGTGGTCATTTGTTAATTCTAAAATAGAGGATACTCGTTATGTAAACAATCAAAGTAAAATATATAACTGCAAATTTCACACTCAGTGATGTTTAAAAACAGACATTGAAAATGCAAAAAAAGTACTTAATCTTTGATCGCACAATCATAAAGAAATGTTATCAATCAAGTATTTCTGTACAAATATGATTTACAAATTTGATCAAATGAGTAATAATGTTTCATTGAAAGCATTTTAAATGGGTACAAACGATGCAAAATGTGTCAGTAACGTATTAAGTCTATGACAATCTGTTTGTTATTTCGTTTCATTTTAATGTATAAAATTAATTGTAATTTGTTTCTTTTGTCTTCAGATTTAGCGCAGAAAATAAAGCGAAACTTCATCCTTGTGCATGGATGCCTTTTGGACATGGGCCAAGAAGATGTGTTGGGTTACGGCTTGCACAGCTGGAGGGTAAAATGACTATTGTTCGGACACTTAAAAATTTCACGGTGCTTCCTGGAACTGAACTCGATAGTGAGCTTAAAATTGTTGAAGGAGCAACTATATTTCCACAGAATGGTGTTCAAATCCGTCTTGTCCATCGTAAATCTACACCAAATGAGAATTAATGAAATTCAGCAGAGCTTTGCCAATGCCAAACCTATTAAATTACTGAAACCAATCATGATTTGGACTTTTCAAAGGTTCTGTGAGACATTTTCAATATAGCATAGGACATTCTGGTGGTTGTATGTTGTTTTGTTGCTTTTATTTTTTCGAATGGTTATGAAACAGATATAATATCTGCAGTTTCTTTTAAAGGTATCTTTACCAACTTTACATCGTATGACTTCATTTAATTAAAAGGTTGCATTTGTCGAATGAAACTTTAACAATTAAATTAAAATCAAACAGGTTATGTTTTGACAATAACCTACACGAACTTGTTACAACGTTAACATATTTTAATAGAATTTTCACAAGACTAAAAAAGGAAATAAATTTCCTCTGTCAAAGATAGGAAACTTGTCAGCCAATGCTTTTCTTTTGGTTTCAGTATTTAAACAATGGAGTAAAGTATTCATCTGTACAGCTGTGTTTAATAGCTTAAAGTACTAAACCACGAGTTGTATTTGTTGATTTCATATATAAATATAAGTATATGAGGGAAATGTGCAATACATGCAAAGTCTTACCGGAAAAGAATTATTTGTTAAACTGAATTGTATCAGCCTTTGTCAACAGTATAGAGCCGGGCTAGTATGGATGCCTGTGAAGTCCGACCAGGCTCTATATTGTTGTATATTGGTCCTGGTATATCTTAAACTTAGAATATACTTTTCTGAATTAAATGGAGCGAAAATTCATTTCACAAAAACAGTAGGTTAAGGGTACAATAACAGTTGATATTAAGTCAGTTATTGTTTCTGTAAAGAAATTTGAAACACCTTTGTTTTATAATGCTTTTGACATTGGCTGCCGTTGCCAGATGGTTTCATTCTCCATTTTGAAAATTAATTTCCAACTCAACAATAGCAAAAATGTGACATTTGAATCTGACATTTATCTGTACTTCTGATAAATTATATGTACTTATTTTGCGTATAATAGAAATTTTAAAAAATGTTGAGTTCATTGTTAACAGTTTGAGAACTGATATTTGTAAAAAAAAAATTAATGCCATTATTCAATGACAAAAAAGATCTTCTTTCAATTTTTTTTTAATATTTAATCGTTCTTTTTATATACTTTCTATTTTTCTTTTTCATAAATTCGATCGATTTTAAAAATGAATATGTCTTTAAGCATACACTTATCTTTATGTAATTATTATGATTGAAAAAGAAGCTATTTGAAATAAGTTGTATTATTCAGATATAGATACATATCTTTTGCCATATTGTAAGTTACAATATTTACATGTATTTAATATGTATTAATGTATTTATTATTGTCAGTCAGTATACTATGTATAAGTTTAACTTGAATATATAATTTATTATGAACTTGGAAACAATTGAAACGGTTAATGTTGTTTCTCACTGTATAGCGTTAATTTCTTTTGATAACGTTGCTTTAAGACAATTATCTTTTTGTTATTGATTTTAGTTATTTTATTTGTTTGTTTTAGTTTTGTTTATTTTGAATATTTCAGCTTAATTTACTTTTAATATCTTATGTTTTTTTTTATATTTTGGTATGTCTCATTTACCCGTTTTTGTTGAACATCGTTTTACTTAGGTATTTTACTTGATATTATTATTTATTTATTTATTTGTTTGTTTCAGATCTGATTTATAATTTATTTTGTTCTAGTTTCAGAATTTAAGAAAATGTAAGAGATTTTGTAAATTGTATATAGCATGAAATAGTAATAGCAGTATTTTCATGACGTGGATGTTTATAAACATTTATTTAAATTGCTTATACTAATAATTGTTACTGGTACTAGTAATTACCGAATATACTAGACCGAACCTCTTGGTGTCAGCTATAACCAAGAAAAACCTTCACCATCTGTGCCAGACCGAAACTCTTGGTGTCAGCTATAACCAAGAAAAACCTTGACCATCTGTGCCAGACCGAAACTCTTGGTGTCAGCTATAACCAAGAAAAACCTACACCATCTGTGCAAGACCGAAACTCTTGGTGTCAGCTATAACCAAAATATTCTATCTACATCAGAAACTGCTATTACCAGCTATTGCTTTCAGTACCAACAATTTCAGAAACTACATATAAAATGTCAATTATTGGAACGATAATCAGCCATGTTATATTATTTAGAAAGATTACTTGAAATGATGTTATGGTAGTAAATCATTTCTATTTGTTTAAACTTTAACATATCTGTGATACAGTTTTATTTTGATGCGTAATAAACGAATTTTGCAAAGATAGAATACGTTATTGTGTCTGGTGACCCTATTTTTTTCTAGGAATTTAATTAACGGTAATGCTTGTTAATATGTAATGTAAACGAAACCTGCATGTGATTTCTTGCAGTCAGTGATAATTAAACATAAAACATGTTGTTATGGTGAGAATTTAATACAAATGTACTGAGTTGTTCACACAATCAGACAATCTAGTGCAAATAAGTTGTAATGAATTCTTGGCAGTTTTTACGAACCATTTTTGCCATGCTTTGGAAAAATGCGATATTTCTGTGATCATCTGCTTCTCTTTTGAGATTGTGGTATTGCTTAAGAAAATTCCGATTTAAATTCAAGGTTCTTAAATACTTACAATTCGAGAACACCAGTGGATTTTCAGAAAAGAAAATCAATTGTGCCATCAACCTTATTTGTGTAGAAATCTTTGTGTAGGGGGCGCAGAGAAAATATAACGCAATACAACAACAAAAAAACAAACTCTGCCCTTTCGTGACAAATTCAAACTAAACCAAAGCTATTGAATACTTTGCGTCATATCCTGAAGTCTTATCTTCTCATAAACTTATATATTTTCTAATTTTTTCTATTTTTCTAATGACCAAGAACATTATACACAGATATGCTGGTAAGCACAATTTTAGGTATTTTCATATTGATGTCACGGGTAAGTTATATAATCCATTCTGATTTATGCTATTAACATAAAGAGCCTTTCGCATGTGTTCACATGTAATAGTATACTGTTGTTGGTACAAAACGGCCTGACCTTGTCATTTTGTATAATGTTTTTGGTATGCATTGAAACATAGTACAATGCACAGAGACTTACACATCGTTATTCTAAATAAGTATATGAGGTATAACAAATAATTAGAAAGATACTGTAAGTAGTGGTCAGAAAGATACTGTAAGCAGAGGTCAACTCTATCAGTTATCTAATACAATATTAATTATCTCGGACTGGAATGACTTATCGATTTTTGTTATGCGAATGAAGAGGGCAATAAGTACGTTTTTCGAGTTTCGTTCTGTACCGTTTTGTAAAAAAACTTTACACTACTAGTTTTGCATTTCTATATGAATACCTATTTGTTGTCAGTCCTAACTCGGTGTTTTTCTATTATCAGAAACACATTTACAATCACATCGATGCATCTATAATGTCCTACTTTATTACAGGATATGCCCATATAACTAAACGTATTAAAGTATTTTTTATTATGTGCCAATTTTATTAAGTTTTGTGCATTCTTTCTTGTGTTATACCAACTCTTTATAGAATTATATACATTATTTTTCTTTGTTTAATGCGGATTTGTTATTAAAGACCACAATTATTTTTCAGTAATCTCAAAAATTCAAACATATGATAACTTTGCTCAATGAAATGAAATATACACATATTGACATCTTTAAAAGCAACATAATAATTTTCATAAAATGAATCAATAACGTATCCCTGAGGATCAGTCAGTGAATATTAGGGATACTTTTACTTTTTCCTATGTGTCAAGCGTTGCTATTTTATGATATATAAATCATGAATGATACTTGAAATGGCACTTTTAAATTATTTGGTTGTTTATATTTTATGAGACCTATTATATTTCATAATTTTATCTAATTATAAACAAATGCTCCCTGTTCATTTGTAAGAATCACGTGACTACATGTTGTATGGTATCGTTATGAATTCTATTAATAGTAACAGATTGCTGATAAGACATACAGGTAAATTGTAAATGGTTGGCAAAAGGCATGGCAGCTAATAAGATGCAAATCATTGTAATTTTGTAAAGATAATTACATAAGTTATTTTTCATTAATCAGTTTAATATTTTATATCATTAGAAAAACCTGTTTACTCATATTTTACACATAAAAATAGATTTCCAAACCTATTCCTTTTTTCTTGGTAAAGGGTTAAACTTGGCCCTTTTTAAAGTTCAATAGTTTAGTTGAGATTGAACATCACAAAATAATTTTATTGAAATATATAATGGTAATAGTTGATTTCGTTATATTCCGTCGGTTTCCGTCGCGAAGGTTTCCAAAACAGTATGACGGCAGGGGTCCGGAATCGTATTAATTAGATACATAGAAAAAATAATAAACTATCTTTGTGTTGATAGTTTATGGCACTGAACGTTAAATATAACGTATGTCACAATGGGAGTACATGTATTGATTTCAACTAAATTTTTTATATATTTTTCGATAGGACATAATAAAGATGTACAACACTTTTACAGTAGAATTGGATTGTTTCATGCAATAATTAAACATATATAATATTTTTTATATATTTTTATATACATTTTATATATATATATAATGTATATAAAAATATATAAAAAATGGCGGCTTAAACGCTCGGTAAAAGCAGTGAAATTGAGGTTTAAGCATACATTTAACTTTAAATTTATATTAAAAACTAGGCCGCACGGAACCCCTGTATAAAAACCACGTACTGTTATGTTATTGGTTACTTTGTACCTTTCTCTGTTTAGGCCTGAAAGTCAAAATAATTGTTTTGGGTGATGAGTGCAATGGCCCAACAGATACTAAAATATGTTGTTTTCAGTAAAAGAAACGCATTTTAAGCAAAATTAGCAATGTCATCTTGTGCAAAATTGAAAGTTTGCCCGTCAAGAACAATTTCCATCCTTTGTAAAGTTGCATAACGAAATTAGACACCTTTTTAAAAAAAAACGAGTACAATGGTCGAACCAAATTTAATGAGTACAATGGCCGAACGATTTATTGAATTATGCTTGTTCCTCGCTTTCTGTCTTTGAAATAATACAAATATGATATTTGAAAGTGAAAAGTAGGATAAAGTATTAAATGAAATGAATTCAGTTTGCTTGCTAAACATTCTCATCTTAATAGTATTCTGCTTCGATAACACGCGTGTACATCAGCGTAAAAGTATTTACAATACAAAAAAATACAAACATGTACATTATATATAATTTATTTCATCAGCAAAAAATATGTTAATTACATAATTACATAAACTTGTCAATTATTTTCGAAATAAAGTTAGGATTTTTTGTTGTTTTTTGTGAGTGTTTCAGACGCAGAAAAGTTGTTCGTTTCAATGAAAAACATGTGCACGTATATCTATGGAATATATACATGTAACGTATATTTTAGATTTTAAAATTGTGCATATATTATCGTTAAAAACTTCATCACACCATATTAAGTTATTCAATATCTTTACAGGAATCGGAAATTTCTTATGTGTTGCCGTCATTATGGCAAATCGTATAGATGACGATCAGCTTCACGTTACGAGCAGGTACACAAGGGAAGGCACCCCATAATGACTGTGGGACATTATTTCATGTATATACATTTTGTAGTTTCGGCAAATTGCAAAAACATGGGTCTGTTAAATTACATGTCATACATGAAGTACATAGCTGCAAACGGCTTGTGTTGCAAAGATGGAAAGAACACAAAGAAATGGTGACAAAAAGAAAAGTATTAAGAAAACAAAATATGGTAATTGCCCTATTATTCAATGTACCTTGTGTGTTGAGAAATGAACGCATTACATGTTCCTAAAAGGATTCAGTTAGAGTAAAAAAAATCTTATGAGATCAAATATTATGAATCTCGGTTATAATAGCTCCAACACCATTAAACATAACATGGAGGCCATATTTACGTCAATAATCTGATAGTATTCCTAAAAATTCTAATGTGTTCAGTTGTTTCAGAGCAAGGAACCATGGCATTTCAACACTGTTTCAGGCACTCAGTTTGCGACAAAGTCTGAACTTAAGCAACACAAGTTATTCACTCAATAAACTTTATTGACGTTTCTGCACGTGACAAAAATATCATGATATGGCCAAAACAAAGTTTTAAGAGGCACTTTTGCGACAATTGCTAAAACAAACAAAGTTTCATTGATCATGAGTTTGCTTTGATCTTTGATATTATACACACTGATCAGTAATTACTCAAACCCTGACTATATATGAAGGCTCTTCCACATGTACAATTGTGTTTCCTTTTGTCGAAATGGGAAGAAAGGTGATCAATCAGCATTGCCATAGTTCGAAAAGTTTTGGGCAGATACTGCAGTTTAGAGTAGGTTAGCATGGAATATCTTGTGTTGCTCAAGTTCAGATTTTGTCGCAAACGAACTGTCACATTCTTCGCACTGGTGCAATTTTGCTCCGCCATGGTTTTTTGCTCTGAAACAACTGAAACAAATTAAAATTTAGAAATTCTATCAGTTTATTAATATAGTAAATATAGCTTCAATGTCGTGTTTAACGGGGTTGGAGCTATTATAACCTCGTTTCATAATATTTGTCCTCATAAGAAATTTTGTACTTTAATTGTACCTATTTAGGAACATATATAATGCGTTCATTTCTCAACACAAAGGGTACATTGTATGTCGCTGCTTATAGCAAATAATGGGGCAATATATTGCTCCAGGGTTATCTAATTTCTTTTTCTTAATAGCTTTTCTTTATTTACATGTAACCATTTCTTTGTGTTCTTTCCATCTTAGACACTCAAGCCGTATGTAGAAATATCAGACAGCTATGTACTTCATGTATGATATGCAATTTACAAACCAATGTCTTTGCAATTTGCCGAAACTTAGGAACCATGTCCCACAGCATGTATGGGGTACCTTCCCCTTGTGTACCTGCTCGTGACGACATGAAGCTGATCGTCTTCTATACGATTTGCCATAATGCCGGCAAATAAACACATCAGAATTTCCGATTCCTGTAAAGATATTTAATTACTTATTATGGTGATGAAGTATTTAATGATAATATAAGCACAATATTAAAATCTAAAATATACAATACATGTATATATTCCTGTAATACAAAAAACTGCCTTTATTTTAAAATAATTGTCAAAATGGTATGACATTTTATGTATGTAATTAAAACATATATTTTGCTGGTGAAATAAATGATATATAATGTACATGTTTGTATTTTATTTTTGTATTG